TCTAAGTATATAGAAAATTTTTAAATTGACCTATTTGTCACAGCTTGAATTACGTAACAAATATATATATAACGAAATTCCGTCCAAAGTATAGTTGTTACGGATAAATTGTCCAAATAAATACAAAAAAAAGTTGATCAATCATTAAATTTTTTTGTGGCGACAACTTTCATAACAAAAGTCACTTTTTGTGACGAATTTATTTTGACGGACTACATATCCGCTACAAAAAGCCAATTTTTTTATAGTGAGTGGTGAAAACGAAGAAAAATGAAAAAGTATATGAATAACGAAAATATAATGAGGCGAAGAAGATAATTAAAAAAGAAAAGATGAAGTAGTTTTTGTAATTTTAATATTTGTAATATCAATCCAAGAATGTAAGACTAAGAAAAATTAATGTAAATTTATTTTGCATATTCCGTACATTTGATTATGTAAATAATAAAATATTATTATTATTACTTTTAAAATGCAACACAACTAAAAGTTAATATATGATGATTTAACATTCATATAATATATTTATTTTTACAATATATAGAAATTTATATATAATATAGTTGTAATTTTTATATTTCTATTTTCATATGGTAAAAAACTTACAATAAAATTTTATTTTATTTTATTTTATATTGACTATAACATGGATTGATTATTAATATGGGCTACCTATATATTTTCAAATATTATTTCTAATAACTTATTATCTATATATATATACATTAGTACTCGTGTGAGCGCGACTAAGCAGTGCAAGTTTTTGTTATGGTAGAATATTTTTTGTAATTTTTTTTATATAAATATGTTGTCTGAGTTCATTAGCGGTGCATATTTTACATTTTTAATTTCTTGAAAGAAAGATAATATATATTTTAGGAAAAAAAGGAAAAAAAAATTGACCGATTTAGTTTTACGAAAGAGGGAGAGAATGAGAGAAAATGAGAAAAAACTAATATAAATATTGTTACGTACAAATAATAATAATAATAATAATAATAATAATGATAATGGTAGCAGGGTCTTAACGGAGGTCGGATAAGATAAGGTCGGACGAAGAAAGATAAGATGGCAGATGCGGAGGTCGGACAAGATAAGGTCGGGCGAAGAAAATGTCTGTTGGTTGGTCGCTTAATTTAAGCGACCTGTTAATCGCCTGATCGATTGGCCGGTCACTTGGTCAAAACAGTAGTTCAGTCGCTTCAAAGGGCGGTCAGTTGGTCGCTTGATGGGGCGACTAATGAATCGTTTGAACGATTGGTTGTTCGGCCGTTTGAAGGGACCGGATGGTGGTCGCTTGATTGTCTCATCCTTCTTCGCCCGACCTTATCTTGTCCGACCTCCTTTAAGACTCTGCTACCATTATCATTATTATTATTATTATTATTTTTTGTACGTAATAATTCCTAATTTGAGTGTTCAGCAGACCAAACATTCTTAAATAATAATGGTCAAAGAGTTAGGTGCAGAATTTAGAAAATCTTGAAGAGTCGGACGCAGTATTGAAAATATGAAAATTTGGCGTAATTTTATGAAATTTTATATGAATTTTATATAGTTTTGCTATATATATATATATCAAGTCGTATTTATACGTTTGCATAGTTTATCGTCCATTGTGAATCACATTTCAATTGGCTGCACAGATATAAAAATATATATTTATATAATTTATTATATTTCTTTCTATCATCTTTCTATCCCAACCGACTACATATTGGACGGGTTGTTAGTCGGTTGCCTTAGAGAGACCCAACCTCTGGACTGTCGGCTGCTGGTTAGTCGGTTGGCCATAGAGAACGCCGACCGCTGGACTGTTGGTCTCTGGTTAGTCGGTTGGCCTTAGAGAGACCCGACCGCCTGGACTGTCGGCTGCTGTTAGTCAGTTGGCCATAAAGAGAGTCGGCTGCTGAATTATTAAAAAAATAATTATCTATAAAATGATATATATATTGATGTGTTTTAAATTTTTAATTAAATTCTTAAAATTTAATTATATAAATATGAATATATAAATTTAAATAAATAAAGAATATTGTTGATGTATTTTTTCAACAAAACAAAGTAAAATCCGAAAATAGAAAATATCTTCGAATTTGATAAAATGAATGCCTGAGATTAAGAATCTCTAAACGCTGTAGGGTACATAAGTAAACTAAGGAAAATAAAACTACAGACTGAAAAAGTAAAGTGGTGACCTCTGTATCAGCCGACCTCCGTATCAGCCGACCTCTGGATCAGCCGACCTCCCTTTTAGCCGACCTCTGTATCAGTTGACCTCCGTATCAGCCGACCTCCGGATCAGCCGACCTCAGTATTAGCCGACCTCTGTATCAGCCGACCTCCCTTTTAGCCGACCTCCCTTTCAGCTGATATCGGTATCAGCCGACCTCCATATCAGCCGACCTCCGTATCAGCAGACTTCCCTTTCAGCCGACCTCCGTATCAGCTGACCTCCCTTTCAGCCGACCTCTGTATCAGCCGACCTTTGTATCAGCTGACCTCTGGATCAGCCGACCTCCCTTTCAGCCGACCTCGGTATCAACCGACCTCCCTTTCAGCCGACCTCTGTATCAGCCGACCTCTGGATCAGCCGACCTCCGTATCAACAGACTTCTGTATCAGCCGACCTCCGTATCAGCCGACCTCCCTTTCAGCCGACTTCTCTATCAGCCGACCTCTGGATCAGCCGACCTTCGTATCAGCCGACTTCCATATCAGCCGACCTTGGTATCAACCGACCTCCCTTTCAACCGACCTCCCTTTCAGCCGACCTCCATTTCAGCCGACCTCTGTATCAGCCGACCTCCGTATCAGCCGACTTCCGTATCAGCCGACCTCTGTATCAGCCGACCTCCGGATCAGCCGACGTCCGTAAAAAAATATATATTTTTCTTTGGATAATTTTTTTTTCTATTATATTAATAAATTATTTTCCACAAAATGATATATATACTGAATTGGTCGGATGATAAAGAGAAGGAGAACCGTCCAGTAATTAGTCGGTTGGGATAGAAAGAGGAGGAGAACCGTCCAGCAAGTAGTCGGTTGGGATAGAAAGATGAGAGAAAGAAATATAATAAATTATATAAATATATATTTTTTATATTCTCTATAAGAGCAGCCGTCTAGTCGGACCAAATTTTTTTTTGTTTTGCGTGCTCAACAAATTCAAAAACCCTTGCATTAGTTTCAAATGCATTTCTTTATATATCATAGCATTAAAATATTGTAACTAAGTTATTGTATTAAAGAAAACGTTGCGATCTACAAAATGATATCCATATCAATATATTTTGTACAAGTAAATCACTACAAAATAGCAAATGGAATTAGAAATACACAACGTTCAAGAACACCCAATATTTTCAGTATAACTGACAACGTGAGGTTTATTGACAAATTTAGTCATACTTGCCCACAATATTACCCGTACTTACTACTGATGTAAAGATACATTGTTTCAGTATTAAAGGTAATTTAGTAAAAACAGGTAGTCATCCGTACGACTTCTCATATATATGTGTTTCTTGATATATATATTGGCCCGTTCATTTTTAATGGATTGATTTTTTTATGTATGGTAGAAAAGATTGTATAAAAAATATAATATATTTTCGCTTTTTGATTTTTTTGTGACGAATATTTGAAAGTTTTTATTTATTTTTTATTCTTTGACTTTTGTAAAATGTATTATTTATTATTATTATTGAGGAACCAGAATTGAAAAATAGTTTTAGAAGAATAGCGAAGTTATATTGTATAATTGAAATACAAAATAACACACCCAAAATATATGTATAGTTTTTATATATTTTTTTAAGTTGATATTGTTCATAAATAACCTAAATTGCTATTTTAATATTATATTGTTTTAATTATATTACACATTTTATTCCAAATATATAAAATAGCTCTCAATTTTTATTCTTAGATTTTTATTTGTAGTTTTCATAATTTATTTTTAAATAATTTGTCTTTTTAAAAAATTTTGTCATTATTATTTATTTAATTATTATTATTTTTTTTATAAGGAACTACTTCCTCCGATCTCAAAAATAATTTTATTTTCATTTTTTATAACTATATTTTCTTATTTTACAAAACTATCCATACTTTTTTCATAATAATTATATAAAGTATGTATATTTTGATCTTTTAAAAATACATTTATACTCACTATTAATATAATACTATTATTTTTTAATTTCTGTATTCATTCCAAATGTCCCTATTATTTTAGAACGAACGGAGGAGTATTATTTTAAAATTTATCAAAATCTTAAAATACTTGAAAAAATAAACATAAAATTAGTAAAAATTTCTATAATAATATATTTTGAAATAAATGATTAAAATTTATATAGAAATATATTGTAATTATTTATTTATTTATTTTATTACACGGTGCAAAGTACGATCATTAATCTAATTATATTTTATCTAAATTCAGTGACAATATAAACTATTTAAAAAAATAAAATAAAATAATAAATAAAATATAAAAATATAAAAGTAATAAAATAATAAAATAAATAATATTATATTATTATTATTTTTTCATAGTCCACCATCACCCTTCCAGTTGCCACCCGATTTCAATTCCTTTCTTTATTATTTTATTAGTACTATTATTTAAGAGGAGCTGCCACAAAATAAAATTTTAAAAAAAATATTATCGGACGACGTGGCCGAACGGTTTCTAGCGTAAATCTAATATCTAATATTATATCCGACGTGGCCGAACGGTTTCTAGCGTAAATCTAATATCTAATATCGTGTATATATATAATATTTGGTGACGAAAGTGTTCCGCCACGTCGCTCTTTTTTATTTTTTTATTTTTTAATTTTTGGATGTGGGGCTTATATACCGTTTTTATTTTATTATTTAATTTTTTTCACCTCTTCTTTTATTTCGATTCATTTCTCAGACAATCTTATCATTTTCGCAACTTGATTTCTTAGACCGCCGCCGCACAGTCCTACACTTTCGCAATCATGATCTTCGACCACAAAATCTCTGCCGCACCGCCACACTCCGCCGATTGGGTTGCGCCATGTGGTCACTCCCTCCCATCGACACCCCGCACCAACACCGGATCCTGGAAAAATAGGAAACGATTTATGCTAATTGAAAGGTTATTTGTATTATCTTCTACCTAATTTTCGAAGTATTATGCTATTTTGTTGTTGTGAATGCACTCAAACTCTCTATTTACTGCTTCACATTTGTGCTTTCATATTCATCATATTATTGACACCCCGCACCAACACCGGATTCTGGAAAAATAGGAAACGATTTACGCTAATTGAAAGGTTATTTGTATTATCTTCTACCTAATTTTCGAAGTTATTATGCTATTTTGTTGTTGTTGTGAATGCGCTCAAACTCTCTATTTACTGCTTCACATTTGTGCTTTCATATTCATCATATTATTGAGAAAAATTATCAGGTATCAGGTGGGATGTCGACCTTATAAATTACTTATTGTTTTTAACTGCGATTACTGCTCCATATTTGTGCTTTCATGTTGATTAGATTGTTGAAAAGAATTATCAGATATTTTTAACTGTTTATCTTCGATAGGAGTTTAAAACCAACATGTTATGATGAATTTTTGTATATCAAATCATTAAGGTAGTTGTAGAGATCTAATCAATAACCTTGATCAGAATGTTGAAAAGAATTATCAGGTATTTTTAACTGCTTATCTTCAATAGGGGTTTAAAACCAACACCTTAGGATGAATTTTTGTATAGCAAATCATTAAGGTACAGTATGAAGGAAATACTGAGGTAACTTATATGGTCATCATCATATTGCCAAGTTGAGTTATTTGCCCCTTCTGACACATCTCATTGTTGGATTATCATATGTTGTGAAGTATTTTTTAAGCTAAGGTTTTATGTAATGGTTTTTAGGCAACTGGTGAGGACTACTTTGTTGAACCCGAGGAAAGGAGGCCCGTCCGTGCCCTCCTTGATGTTGGCCTTTTGAGAACCACAACTGGAAACCGTGTTTTTGGTGCGCTGAAGGTATATTATAGCTTTGTTACTGCTAAAACCATTTGATGTTGTAGACTTGAATAAGTAGTAAAAAATCTTATTTCTTATATATTTTCATGCAGTTGAATGGCTATGGAATATGTTAAAGGAAACTGTCCATATTCAAGTATTATACTTTGAAGTTAAAATATGTTGTGGGATTGGTAATCTTTTTCTTAGTTCTTCTCTGTTCTGTGAGAGTCTTCTCTTGAGGGTGATTTTTAGAGGGGCGAAGATTTACTCGGTGTAAAATTTGCAGTTCATGTCATCTTTTAGTTCCATTACAAAAGTTTTTTAAATAATATTGCTTGCAGTTAATATTATGGTGACACTGCAATTCACCTTTTGTTGTCAGCTTTAGTTTTATTTTGGGTGAATATATGCTTAATTATCTCCACGTGTGTGTAATTGCCTTTATATGATGAACTTTCAATATCTCATATCTTCTTCTTAAAATACTATTTGTATATGCGAAAAATTTCTTTATTTGCTTTATTTGTTTTCTTGATTTGTTGTTTGAACAGAGGGCTACATCAAATGAATTTGATGTGTTGAATATTTCTCACCTCATTTTTTAGTTATGTATGCAATTTGGTTCTCATTGCTGTTCAATACAATAAACATATTATTTTAGATAAAATTATGGTTATACTTTGATATACTTGATAGAGCATTTGAAAACCTATGAAAACTATGATCTATACAGTTACTCACTTCATTGCTACCAAATTGAATATGTTTAATAAATTTTTAAATTTGTAATGAGTTTTTATTTTACAGATGGATACGGCACGAGCCTTTAAGAAAATTGCTCGATTAAAAAGAAGAAGAGAGATGCGTGTGAAAGAATATAATACAAGTAGAAATGCTGGGCTGAGAAATATTATTGACAACATCGAAAAACAATATTACAGGCTTTGTGAAGCTTGCAATATTCAAACTGAAGCTTTTGTTTCTAACATCGTTCAAAAAACACGAACGGAAACTCTTCATGAACAGTTGGATACAAGTACTTCTATTTCAGAAGAATTTACTTTAGGAGGTATATCAAAATGTTAATAATATTAATTTATTTTTACAAATTTATATTATTTAATCGTATATATATGTATATTAATTTTGTGATTATTATCATTCAATTGATTCTATTGCAAATATATAGGTATTTCTCAACCGAATGTAGGTTTATATTTGCCTGTTGAATCATCGCAACTACATTCTGTGCGTGTCGACGAAGGTATTAATTATGTAATAATATTCTAATTTATTGTTGTTGATATTAACGTATAATATTATTTTAATTATAAAATTTAATTGTTTTATATTTCGCAGAGTACTAAATTCCATTTATTCTTTTTTATTTTAAATATAGAATTAGTAATTTTTATTTTTATTTTTTGTTATTTGAAATAGGTAGTTCTGAAAGTGGTGATGACACAATTGTATCAAGTACTTTTCCGGAACTCAACTCTAATATGGAGGAATCTAATCTTGCGAACATTCTAAGTTATGAAAACAGAGGTAAACTTTTTTTTTTCAATTAATTTTTTTTATATAATATAATTATTATCTTTTTTTATCAGAAAAGATAATTATTATCTTTTAATTATATATTTAGTCCATTTGCATCAGTCCACATCATTTTTTTTCCGCCACATTAACAAAAAATACATATTTTTTATATTTTAAAATTAAATTTTAACAAAAATATATCAATATATATCATCGTGTAGAGAATAAAATTATATTGAAATAAAAAATATAATATATATTTATTAATAAATAAAATTAACATTTATTATATATAATATATATACATATTTACACAATTTAACAAGATATGCATTTACTTATATATAAAAAATAATAGATGTATCAGTTATACCACGTTTCCTAAAACAACCTGCAACTCGAAGATTGTTACTCGGTGAACGAGATAACATATGTCGCCATTGTGGTGCATTTATGTGGTTCGAGGAGAAAGTTCTTAAAAGTCGTAAAGAATTCCCAAACTTTAGTTTGTGTTGTCAAAGCGGAAAGATACGGCTGCCTTTGCTACCACCTTCACCTTCTTACCTACACAATCTGTTGGGAAGTCAGCTTTTTATGGAAAATATAAGATCTTTGAATTCGATCTTCAGTTTCACTTCTACTGGTGGTAAAATAGATAAATCAGTTCAAGATGGAAAAATAGTATATTGTTTCCGTATTTCTGGAGAAAATTATCACCGAATAGGTTCTCTTGTGCCGACTTATGATGATACCTATAAGTTTGTGCAATTATATATTTGTGATACGGAAAATGAAGTAGAAAACCGATTGAATGCTCTCGGAAAGAGGGATTTCAGTTCAGAAATATGCTGTGGATGAAATCAAACAATATCTTGACTGTCGTTATGTGTCAGCAATAGAAGCTTCCTGGAGAATATTTGAATTTGAATTGCAAAAACACTCTCTGCCAGTTGAGCGACTGTAATACCACCTACCAAACCAACAGTTTGTCACATTCAACGACAGAGACAATTTGCCAAATGTTCTCAATCGTTGTGGAATTCGAGATACAATGTTGACCAAATGGTTTGAAGCTAACAAAAAAAACATCGATGCAAAGAGATTAACATACGTTGATTTCATCAGTGAATGGGCATGGAATAAAAAGAACAAAAAATGGACTATAAGAAAACGTGGGAGAAGCATAGGGAGATTGCCATATGCCCATCTGAATTCTGGAGAAAAATATTATTTACGGATGTTGCTTTATATAGTCCGTGGAGCTGAGAATTACGAAAATATTCGTACATTTAATAGAAATATATATGCAACATTCAAAGAGGCATGTGTGGCACGTGGCCTACTTGATGATGATAATGAATACCACGAGGCATTAGGTGAAGCTACGCCCTGGGCTTCATCACCAGCATTGCGCGATATATTTGCAACTATGCTCATGTTTTCTGAAATCACAAATCCTATTCGTTTGTGGGAAGCACATTGGAAATCTATGGTCGACGACCTCGTATATCATTTCAAAAGAGAATCGCGAACTAATATTATTCTTTATGAAATACTTCTAAAGGATTGGTGTCTGCGGGAAATAGAGACGATACTAATGAAAAATGGAAGAACTCTTAGAGATTTTCCGTCTATGCCACATCCATCAGCTGCATCTTATGCATTTCCCTCGAATAGATTGATACGTGAAGAACTCGATTATAATGTACAACAAGAAGAGAAAATGTTCCATTCTTTTTTTCATGGAATGAATGAGGATCAACGCCGCATATATAATGTCATAATGAATGCTCACGAGAAAAATTGCGGTGGATTTTTCTTTGTCAATAGTGGATGAGGAACGGGTAAAACGTATTTGTATAAAACATTAATTGCAAAGTTCCAATCTGAACAAAAAATTGTCCTTTCAGTGGTATCCTCTGGCATTGCAGCTTTATTACTACCAGGAGGTCGGACAACACACTTACGTTTTAAGATACCGTTCGAATTGCATGAAGTATCGCATTGTTCTGTTACTGTCAACTCAAACCTGGCAAAGCTAATTAAAGAAAGTTCATTAATAATATGGGATGAAGCACCAATGGCACATCGCTATTGCTTTGAAGCAGTTAGTAGAACGCTCCAAGACATAATGAAAAGTTCGCCGAACTATATTTCCAATAAGCCTTTTGGTGGCAAGTTATGTGTCTTGGGCGGTGATTTCCGACAAATCCTACCGGTTGTAACAAAAGGCAGACGTGAAGCCATTGTCGTTGCTTCATTGTCAAATTCACCTCTTTGGAGCAAGTGCATAATATTGCATCTGAAAAAAAATATGAGACTAATGTCGTTGGATGGAACAAGACGATCAGATCATGAACTGCAAAACTTCGCAAATTGGATAAATAAGGTTGGAGAGGGGAAAACCAAATTCTTGCGTTTTGATGATGATACTGAATATGATTGGATTGAAATCCCTTCAGCATTTCTGATAAATGAAAATGGAAATGGTATCCACTCATTAATAAGCGAAACATATCCAGACTTAAAAGAACGGTACACAGATACTACTTACTTAAAGGAGAGGGCCATTTTAGCGCCAAAGAATGCAGATGCAGACCAAATCAACTCAATGATGTTATCCATGCTGCCAGGCGAACCACAACAATACTATAGTGCTGATAGCATAATCCCGGGGTAAGCGCAATATACAAATGAAAATATACATCCGGTAGAGTTGCTGAATACTATAAATATTTCAGGTTTCCCAAACCATTGTTTGGAATTGAAAGAAGGAGTACCATTAATTCTTCTTCGGAATATCAACCAATCTTTGGGCCTATGCAATGGAACTCGACTTACAATACTGAAGTTGGGCAACAAAATTTTGTCGGCATGGATTATGAACGGTTCACATACGGGGGAAGACGTGCTAATACCACGCATTGTATTCACAACAAGTGCAAGTCAAACATTCGTTCAAATGAAAAGAAGACAATTCTCGATTAAATTGGCGTTTGCAATGACGATTAATAAAAGTCAAGGACAAACACCTGAAAATGTTGGATTGTACTTGCCAAACCCTGTATTTTGCCATGGGATGCTATATGTTGCACTATCAAGAGTCACACATCCAAGAGGGTTAAAAATACTCATTCATAATAAAGATGGTATACCAGCAAATGCTACTAAAAATATAGTATATCCAGAAGTACTCGCTTCTCTAATAACGTAAGAGTTATTTACTATTACAATCTATTCAAATAATAATGCAAAGAATTTTTTTTAGTCTTATTCATAAAATAATTATGTCGTTATTTATAATAGTATATTTCTATAATGCATTTTTTATTTCTCCATATAAATTTACAGGCCGTACAGGTGAAGAATATTCAGATATTGCGAGTTTGACTCCCGAGTGCTATGATGCTACTATAAAAGCACGATTGATTCGATTGGTGGACACACGATTTCCAAGATCGAATATTCGAATTTTGAAGCTTTTATTCATTGACGCCTATGTAAGTATTCATTAATCTTATTCGAAAAGCATAAATTACATATCATATATTATTTGTAATGTTTCTATAATAATAGAATAAGTGAGATTATCTTATATATTTTGCAGGGATTCATAATACAAGGCGTGGTACACGAAATGAACATTCCTATTCTACTTCCAAAACTTCACGAAGGCAACATGTACAATATTCATAAAATGAAGGTAATCATTGCTGACAACAAACACAAAATAGTACCCCATCCATTCCAGTTATTGCTGCATCAAGACACAATTATTGAACAAACGGTTGATCAGAAGGTATCTTCCCAAAAGATTTTGTTAATATTATCTCCTTTAAGGATCTGAAATCTTATGTAGATATGGAGATCAATTGATTGGTAAGTTTTACTTATAATATAAACTAGATATATATATATCATTGTTATTTACTTTCATATAATATGCGTGCAGATATTTCTAGAATTGTTGCTCATGTAGATGATTCTTTCGTATGGCCACAATGCGCGCGGAGTTATACTTCTGGATAAAAGGTAACGACGTTAGTTCTTATTACATTGTATGTTTATTTATACTATTCAAATACAAATTCAATAAACAAATAAATAAATAAACTAATTATACATTATGCATTAATAAGTCTGACAGCAGTTCCAGTAATTTTGAAAGGAAATCTAGCATTGACTAATGAGGATAAATTGAAAGCAGCGATGAAGGAAGAAACAACGTTACTGGCCTGTGGTGTCCTGGTGAAATAAGTTGAAGGTATATTGCAAAATTATAAAATGATTATCATATTAAATATTGTATTTTTTTTAGTATATGACTAATTACATAGTATTCATTTCGAACAGGTCCAATTGTTTATACGCATCATTTCACAAAATTGTATATAAACAATAATACGCCACACATAGATGATCTTCGTAACTGGTAATGGAAGTATATTCAATTATTTTATCACATATTCTATATCATTTAATAGTTTCTATATATAGGTTTACGCGCGCAATCGCTCCGCACAAAAAAATGTGGAATTCATTAGATCGAGGATATTTTCGATGCAAGAATTATTGAACATAGCAAATTTCGAAAGAATTAATATCGCTAATTTGCGATATCAAAATGAGGTACGCATACTGTATTATTTAAATATACGCATAAATCATTTTTTAAATTGTGAATGAAATTGAACAAAAACTGTATAGGTGAAATTTTATCGTGTGCTTGCACGCATTAAACGAGTCGATGGGGGGAAAGTATGGAATATTTTATTCGATCCATCATTATATCCAATCCCCTTAGAAATATACGACAGTACCGAAACACTGGCATTAAAATTGAAATATGCTCACCTAAATTTCATGTTCCAACTACATCTTCCCTTTGTGCGCAACTTTATGCGACAGGTACTATAAATTCATTAATAACTTCATTTACGTTTAACATGTTTTCAATTCTTTATTTATATATATATATATATTTGTAGAGAAACGGAAAAGCAAGTTTTGAAGAGTATTTGAGCACATTTATTGATCGTGCTTATACATTTATACTTCCAGTGACGCCTATATTTGATAGACCAGGTTCACAATCTCCAGTATATCATATATTATACGTTGATTGGTGTGAGGAATGTGCTCATGTATTTATCAGATCTTCGTTATGTAAATAATTATATTTACTAATCTTTTTATAATAATTATAAACTTGAGTTATTGGGTTATTGTTGAATTACTTTTTTGTTATTTATTTATTTGTTGTTGTTGTTGTTGTTGTTGTTGTTTTCACATTAAATCGGTTACCAAATCTTTGAATTGAAATTTACAATTTTTGGGACGACTCAGATTATAATGTGAAAAACAAGATCTAATTAGTTTACGTATTATTCATTATAATTAATTTTGTAACCCTCGAGATATAAGTAATTAAGTATGTATAATGAAACCATAAATTTTTTATGCTAAAAAAGTAGATGATTGTGCCAAATTGCACGACAAATTTATATATTTGTTATTTTTTATAACAGTTGATTTTAACAATTCAATAATTTTATAAATATTTTTAAATATATATTTAATGTAATGTATTTTCCATAAAAATTAACAAAATAATTATTTGATCGTTTGGGCTGTGCATAGCGCGGCTACCCACTAGTACATATATTTACAGTGATTTTGTGTTGCGAGGTCTATTAATTTTTATTTTTTTAAAATTTTATTAGTGTGAGTCTCACGAACAAAAATGATTTTCATCATTCTAATTAATGACAGAGATTATATATTTTTTTATACTAGTCGTTACCCGTGCTACGCACGGACTTATTATACTATCCCTTCTTCCGTAATTAATTTATCTATTTTGATTAGTCTAAAATTATTCTACTTGTTCTTTAAAAAAAAAAAAAAAACAAATAATTGTGATATAATCAGACTCTTCACTAATTGATTTTTTGTGTGTAATGGGAAACTGTGTTGATAATATAAAAAAATATTCCGCATGATTTATCATTTTTTAAAAAAATATAATTATACACTTTAATCACATTTTAAAATTCATAATTTATTTTTATTTTTAATAAACTATTTAGTCATTTTAATTTTAATCTATAATTATTTTTACTAATATATTTCTTAATTAATTAATTATTAATTATCCAATATCTAAAACTCCGTACCTAAGCAAAATAAAACAATTTAAGTTGGACGGAAAGAGTAATATTTTGTGTTGAATTATTAACTTACTTTTTTATGAATGGATAATATATATTATATTAATGTACATGTATATTTTTATTTTTTTTAATAATATTTACGAAGAAATATTTTATTGAAAAAAATGCATACCAAAAATATATACAGCTATAATGCATTTAAAATAATTTTAAAATAAACTATATACTATATATATCATAAAAACATAAAAAATACAAATAATTCGTAAATGAAACAATATACACTGGGTATATATATTCTTCGTTTGCTTGGTTATTGTGCAACTTACGATGTCCATGTCCAAGTTACAAAGTTGCATTTAAAAATTATATCAAAATTAAAAAATATCTCCAAAAATTAAATATAAATATTAAAATATATTAATTTTATTATTATTTAAAATAACGTACAACTGTTACTGGTAAATATTTATATGCAAAAATAAAATACAATTTATATAACTGTTTATTTTTAAAATATATTTTTACATAATATATATTTTTTTAATTTTTCAAAAATTTTTATACAAAAATTTAATAATAATCCTAAATCAACACGGACCCTCTTTCTGTCCTCTTTTTTCTTTTGTTTTATTTTCTTCGGTCATTTTTCATTTTCCTATTATTCTATTATCGTTTTTCTCACGCTGACACAATTTATGAAGAAATAGTGATGATATTTCCTTTTTATTCAATTTCATCCTATCTTTCATCTTTTCCTATATTTTAAAATATAAAATTATTATTATTGAATATAAATATAAATAAATACAAAGTGCAACAATTTATTTTATTCATAAATACAACGTATACGAATGTTTTTTTTATAGTTTTAATAAAAAATAAATTAAATATAATATTACAATATAAATTTTATTGACAATTTCAATTTTATTCAAATTTAAAAATTAAGTTTTAATCAAAACAAACAAATAAATTATTTAAGGTGTTCAATAATTAGTTTATTCAATAATATTTAGTTTATTGTCAAACAATTATTTTAAATGTTTGATAAATTAGTTTTTTAAAGAATTTGATTGAATTTCAAAGTTAATTTTCTAAAATGCTTTCCCATATCAGTATATTATTTTATTTCTTTTTATTTTTAATTTATCCTCATATTATTATTTCATTCACATATATATATGTCTATTAATATATATTATTATATTATTTATTAGTTATGTTAATATTTTTTTTTCGTAAATTCTAGATTTACTTTTATAAATGTAAAATAAATTAAATAATTATTATTTATATATAAAATATTTAACTTTATTAAAATAAATACAAAGGAAAAAATATAAATATTACTGTATTAATTCATATATATATACATATCTTTTATCATATAATTTTTTTATTCAAAATAAATATTAGAATAGATTTACTTAAAATAAGTTTATTAAGAAGTTACCTAATAAAAATAAATATACGAAGAATTTGTCTTTTCTTTTTATATATTATTTCTAATAAAAATAAAATTTAGATGTTAGAATGATAAAAAATTAGATGTTATATTTTTATAAGAAAACTATATATATAATAAATATAGATATATATTATAAAAATATTATCATTTTGTATTACATAAAGAAATTTAAATAAATTTAAACACAAAAAAATCAAATCTATAAATTAAAATACACATAATAATATTACTAAAAAAAATAAAATTTAATAATACAATTAATAAAAATAAGTACAAACAAAAAAATTAATAATATAATTAGTATAATAATGTAATAGAACTATTAATTCTAAATCCATCAATAAAGAAACAAACTCTACACCAAACCCTTTCCACAATCTCCCCCAAATTCTCCTTTCTTCACCGTTTCCTCTCCTTGTTTCTTCGTTTTTCTTCTTCGCTTATTCTTTTACTTTTCGATTCTTTCTTCTCACTCATCTCATTTTTTTCACCTTCCTCTTGTAAGTTGCGCCACCGACGCATTTCTCCCACATATGACGTCCGCTGCTGCCAGCCGTTAGAGTATCGATAGGTTTTTATTTTTACTTTACTCTTCTCTTTTTTCTTTAATTCTTTATATTTTCAGTTTGCAACTTCTTCCAGAATCATTTTCAAGTACTTGCAAACAGTAAAGCTGTGCAAAACAGAAGTTTGTTTGCGCCTGATGTGTAGAAAATAGGTACAAGACTTTTAAGATTTTAATTTTCAAAACCTGTAAAAAAAATCTTGTGAAAGTCTTACAAACAACATGTTTGTTAATTGTTTTTTTCTACTTACGGCGCCATCGTCGTCATCCGTCTTGAATTTCCTTCTTCTCCTTCCATTCATTCTTCTATATCCTTGTTGTATACTGTTATTATAACTTGTTATTATAACTGTTGCAAAAGAACAAATAAATTATTAGTAATAAATTAGTGGAAGAAAAATGAGTTGGTAGGAGAAGAATGTGTTAACTAACAAATTGAAGAGGAAAATTGTAGTTTGAAGTCAAATTTTTTTTTAATGGACTAACAATTCTGTTAAATAGAAGAGGAATGTTGTAGTTTGAAGAAATGTATATTGGGAGAATAAACGTTACATTGAGGAGATGAATGGTCACTGCTGCTGCACATTGAAAGAGAAAGAAATGAAAAACAAAAGGTCTGATAGCTAACGCAATGGAAGAGTCTGGAGTACAATTGTAATAAAAATTAGCAAAATAAGTCATATTCATTTACTAACCAATCAAATGTTCAGACCAATGAAAATTAGCAAAAAAAAAAAAAAAAATGCTAGAAATTCAAGTTTTACATTATGATGGACTTCACATCGAGTTCAAATATATAGATATATATATATATATAATATATGATAAATAGACAAAAGAAAATTAGAATGAGAAACAATAATATTCCCTTTCGTCTAGCTAGAAACTATACATATTTTTATTTTAGAACATCAATGAATATTTCATTAAATATCTCACTTTTTTTTTCACTTTTTTTTTCACAAGTACCCTTACTTTATTTCACATCATTACTTTTAAATAAAAAAGTAAAGACAAACAGTACTTTTAACTACCTACTATAATTAAAATACAATTACTTTTTAAACACCACGCCAAAAATAAATATTTATTTTATATGTGGACAGAGGAGAGTACCATATAATGAGAAATATTAATAATAGTATATCTTAAAATATATGCTTGATGAATTAATAAAAAAAAATACAAAATTTCAAAATAAATAATAAATTTAATTTTAAAAATATTCAAGTTTATTAATAAAAAATAATTCTATCAAATAATCAATAAAAGTAAATAATTATTAAAAAATTATATTTAAATTGCACGTTATTAATATATATACGTATAAAAATTTATTAGAAAATCTTTCATATATATTAAAATAAAAATATAAAACATATACATATATTATATTATATGACATAAAAAATATATTGGCCTACATTTATATAATAACTAATCAAATTCAACAATTAATAGAAATTTAATAAAAATAACTCAAAATTGTTCAAAATTCCATACCAATCAAATCTTTCACCAAATTAATTTTTTTTAAAAAAAATTCAAAACTCCTAGAAATTCTTACTTTACATTGTGGTGGGAGCCACAATGAGTTCAAATATATATATATATGATTAGATGAGTGTGAGTCCCACAAAATAAAAATTTAAAATTAAATAACTTTCATCATTCTAATCAATGCAAGAGGCTGTATTTTTTTTATTATATAATAATATATTTTTATAAATTCCTGTGCGTAGCACAGGGTGACCACTAGTGTATATATATACAGTAGATTAGAAAGTTGCAGGGGTTTATATTTAGAGTGATGATATATAAAAGTCTTTTTGAAAATCCAAAATGTTTTTTTTAGAAAAATGAAAAGACTTTTTCATTATTATTTTATAATAAACTAGTGGAATACCCATGACAAAAGTTATAATCATATTTTTTTGTTTAATAGTAATTTCTTTATATATTATATATATTTTTAATCAATATAAAAAAATAAAATAAT